GCGCTCGTCAGATACCAGAAACGCATCAGGATACTGACAAACTTTCTCCCTGTGAAGATAATACAGACACTGGTTAACACTGCACAAATAATCACACACAGCAGCTTTTAGATGTCGGCCCGTCCTGAGAGAGGGAGCCTCCTCTGTTGCTCTTCCTGAGGTTTCCTTCATGTGTTAACCTGTTAAAGGGGTTTCTGGGGAGTTCTTCCTTATTTACACTGAGGGTGCAGTATGCTGTACAGACTGTGAAGCCCCTTGAGGCAACTTTGTGATTCATCATATTGTGCTACATGAATAAAACTGACTTGACTTAAAGAAAATAGACATTAAAACGTCGTATTCACATCTTACGCTTTAAACTATTTGACTCTGACCGTTATCATCGTAGTGGATTCCTACGTCTCCAGGTGCCGTGTACATGATCTCATCAGATTCTGCAGAGAGAGCTTTCTTGTGGGTCGACGACAGCAGTTTGCACTTTTCCTCGAGCTTCACAATCAACTGCAAGGAGACCAAAATTAGACAAAGCTAAACGTGAGTAGAGAGATTGCACCTGTTATATAGAAGAAGCTCATCCTTTGAAACAAGAAAAGATGTCCTGATTATGTCATGTTTTAGAGCGATACAATGAATTGATTCCTTCATTTGTCAATCTGAAACCTTATTTTAATTCTGATTTGTATGAATTGATCTTTTAAATTATTGATTTGTTCCACAAACAGACTCACAATCTCTTCTATGAGCTGTTTCTTTATAATAGTTCCCAGACGTCCGACAAATGTCTCTCTCGTTTTCAGAGTGGGATGAAACTCATTTTAAAACCTGGCACTTAGTGGGCTGGTCCCAGGCCCAGCGTCAGCATGAAGTGACTGAGAGGGTGTTAAAAACAGTGAGGGGGCAATTATTTCATCCAGTTAAATTAACTGATATAACCATAGTCTCAGAAAGGCTAAATAACAACAACAGCATAAAGCTACTGGTTCAAAATCAAAGAATAGGATACATTCATTAACCAGAACACTCACATATTATTACAAACAAACAGCAGCTAATGTCACATCTATGTCAGCCAATAACTTTGTTTTTGTTAGTTTTCTTCATCAGAGGGGGCAAATAATACCACTGAGGGCCCCTCAGGAGCCCTTGTGGTTCAGGGCTCAGTTGGTCCTGTCTTATATCTCAGACCTATTAAATCCTCAAATGTCCTCACTGTCTCTGAGGTTCTCTGACCTGAAGCTGCTGTCTAATCCACATTCTGGGCTGAAACACAAAGAAGGTAAAAGGCTTCGTTGCTGGCCCCGGTGTGTGTTCTGTATCTGTGACTTGTTCTCCTCGTCTTGAAGACTGTACAGCGTTTTGGTAATCAGTGTTGTTTTAAGACACGTTTCATAAACGTCCACCATAAAATGCAGTATTATTATGAACAGTAGAACTGAAGGACTTGTGAAGGGTGTTATGTGCTGTGTACATCTTTGAGTGAGCACAGGAGAGACTGCAGCTGTGTCCTGGTTTCACACTCCATTAGCAGGATGCAGTGTGTTCACCCTACAAGAGTTAAATATGCTCCAAAAAGTCAGTATGTTCACTGAAAAACTGCTGAGACGACTCTGAAAAGATCTCAGAAAATGAGATATTAAATATTTGGACAACCACTTTCTATTCTATTGGTGCCGTTGAATCAGCTGTTGTATAATAACTGCACAAACAGCACGCAGACAGAGAACTGGACTGTATGCATGTTGTATTTTGTGTAGTATGGGATTAGGGATCACGTTTGGACCTGCTGGGTTCCCATACTCACGTCTTCAGCCACGAGTCCTTCCAAAGCTTCAAACTTACATTGTGACAACAGCGTGGAAACATGGGAGAAAGCCTGCAAGAGTCAACAAAAGATCCTCAACAAACAGCGGCTGAATGTAACCGAGTACATTTACTCATTTACAGACAAATACTGGATTTAAGTTCACATTTGAGGTGCTTGTTCTGCACTTGAGTCTTTATACATTAAGATTTTTACACACAAATCATATTAAGAGTTTATAAAATGTAAGTTTTGTTACAAATGAAACTGAATGAAAGTAAAGCTTTAAAAATTGGTCATTTAATGTTCCAGCCAGATGAATAATGTTTCCTTTTAAATGTTCCTTGTGTGTCCGATAACAGTGAGAGTACCTTTTGTTTTTATGCCCTTAAACTGTGGAAGTCACTGCCTCTGGATATTAAACTGGTTGAGCTTTAAAGAGGAAATTCAATCTTTTACTTTTATGTTTAGGTTTCAATCGTTGGTTTTTACATTATTTGTCTCCCTGCTGTTTCATTTTTCATCGACTTTTGTCTTTATTGTATTTTTCAGTCTTGCAAAATGGTAATTATTGTTGTTTGTATGTGTTGTTTCAGTTTGTTATGTGAAGCTTTTAGTACAATCCTGCTTTTACATCAGTGCATAAGTACTAACACTGTAACTGTATGTAATAAATCTAATTAGCTGCAGTAACGTTCACTTATAACAGAGTGTGTTAACAGCAGTAAAGGCTCTGAATACTGCAGTTTATATCAGACACACAGAAACTCCCCTATTTACTGGGAGAAATGCCCAAATGTCAAGTAACTGCAGCAAAATCTGTCTCCTCATGCCACGAACTGAGACAACCAGTGGAAACTCAGACGGATAAATATATAAAATAATGGATTTCTTAGTTTATTTTAATTTTAATATAT